CAAATTTTTTATTAAAAATTGCGTGTTACTGTTGATTTTATGCTTTATTAAAAAAGCAAAATGGGTCAGGTATGTTTTGAGATCAAATTGAATAAAAAAAAAAAAAAAAAAAGCCCACGGAAGGAAAAGGATAACAGACAATGCCTAGAGAGCAATAGACAGCGGGTCGAAAATGTGGAAAGGGGCAAGGAGAAGAGCGGAAGTAAAAAATCTAGGTGGACCACGTAAGCGTTTGAAGGCTTGCTATCCCATCCTGCCACGGTCATAGAAAGGAGTAGTAAATAATTTTACAACAATCCTATCCCAGCTGGGTCCCCCTATTTCAACTGCACACACATTTGCGTGCATCTACTAGGACAGGGGGGTCCCCGCTTTCTTCGTTATCCCGTCAATGATAAATGTCTTGTAATAATCGCGTCTTTCTTGACCGCGATTTCCACAAGGCCGCTTCAAAGCAGCGAGCAGCTCGCGCCGAGCATGGTGTCGTGCAGCATGGGAGCGCGCTTGACCGGACCAGCAGGCTTGCGGACGACGCGGGGTGCGCTGGCCCGCGCGACAAAGCGGCGGAAGAAGGCGGTGGCCTTGGTCTCGGCGGACGTGGTTGAGGTTTGAGCGGGCATAGTGCTGACGTTTGAGCGCGGATGAGGTAGAGGAAGGGCTGGCAGGTGCGTTTGCGGTTGTTGGATGGGGGATGGCCACGTTAAAAGGAATTCTTTTAAAATGGGGAGAAATGGGGAGATTCAGATGAATTTCATAGAATCGTGGATTCATTGTTAATTACACCAATGGTGCAAGCCTTTAGACTGCGGTTACGCGTGGACCTTACGGCATCCTTACAGCCTGCCACCACCATGGGCTGGTCATGGACAAAAGATCAAGATCTCACGATTTTCTTCGGTGTCGTGTCCCCCTTTCTCCAATCCACAACTGCAGATAAATCGTGGCGACGGTCGTCATCAGTTTTCAAGTGTTGGCATTGGACAATTTAGTTTTGTAATTTTTATTAATACGATAACAGTGCATTAAGCTGCCTCCACTTCACCAAGGAAGCAGTGTGATACTTTCTTGTTTACTTTATAAACGCAAGCATCAAGGTTTAACACAAGGATGGCATGTTTCTTACTACAACAAGGCAATTATACCGGCCGGTGGTCGATGGCGGCTCCAGCCTCGACTTGAACGGCGGTATGGCGAGCTAATTAGCCGCCGACGCGAACATGTTCATTCTCCTCGCGACGGATGGCCGAATGCTTATGAGGCCGTGCCGAACTCTTGGAAGCCCACCTCGCGGGAATATCGACTTACGCACGTATCTGAGTGGTTAAAGTTATCTATCAGCTTTCGCTCGCGTGGGAAAAGCCAACGGAATATGAAAGCAACGAACGGTAGGCGGGGCTCGATCGACTTCGAGGACTTGGTTCAGCAAGTGACATGCCGGTTTCCTCCTTGCTCGTTGTAGAATTACGGCTGTTACAGAAAAAGCAAACCAACTTGGATACGTGGTGTGACGAGCTAGGCGAGTACGTCATGCTCACCAGTGCGACTTCCTTCCCAGCAGCATCAAAATAGTTGCCTTCGTTCAAAAGCATTTTTACCCATTTAAGACTACCATAAAGGTGCTAGTTCAATAAGTGCAAGCGAAATAAGCATCGACATTAGCCACGACCCCGCCAGCACCACCGACGTCCCTCACGGGCATTTCGCCTATAACCTCCAGCGAAGCGGGCCGTGCACCCAGCCGTCACGTCCTCACCCTTCGGCAGCAAAAACGGATGTCCCTACGACCTCTCCATGCCGAACGGCCCAATGATCCTCGATGCCACCAACTCATTCCAAACCGCCAGACCGGCCACGTCCGCTGCGATATCCACCGCTGTCGAAAAACAGACAGTGGTGTCTTCAAATGTGGTCCTGATGTCCATCCCGAACGCCAACATCAGGTATCGCGGTTACTTGTCCGCGAACGCTTGCATGTAGCTGTAAACGCCGCCCGCAGCCGGTCCGATGAGGGAGGCAATCCCAGAACATCAAAGAACGCGCCGCGCGACACGGTTCTTGAACTTCGGGGCGCGGGATGACTGCGGCTTCTTGACGGGCGCGTCCGTTTTGAACGAGGTGCGCGACGCCGGACGCGTCTAACTCCTTCGCGCGTTCGAGCCGTTCTGCCGCCAGCGGACCCCCTGAAGGCCCGCGTCCAGGCCACCTCCCCGTGGACGATCACGCCGACCGTCATCACACGGACGCAGCTGTCGGCCCGGAGCTTGTCGAGCATGGCACCAAGGGCCACTTAGTTGGCGACCGGATGAAAGCCATCAGCTAGTCCATTCTGCTTGAAAAATGATCCGCCTCGCCCTCCCCCGCGCGATTGCCCGACCCCTCCTCCAAC